GTCATCCCTCCCAGTTTTGTTGTGTGTCTGGGCTTCAATTCCTGGGAGTTGTAAGAGGTCACTGTCTTATTTTACCATTTTCTTGCACCCCTGTGATTAGATCCGTGGTCCATCTGCTAGGGGGTTTGTCACTTCATGGATTCTGCACAGAATGCCATTGCTTTAAACGCCCTTGTTTTCCGGTTTCTTAGCATGGAATTCTTGGATGTGACCACAGGCTCCCGAGGGCCAGGGAGAGCAGCTGTGTTCTGTCTCCCCTCCCCCCGACGCCTGGCACTGCATCTTGCCCTCTTCTAAGTCTTCAAGTCTCTGTTCAGTCTGGAAATGAGACGTTAGTTAGGAGCACCCTCACCTGGGCCTCAGAGTGCATGGTGGCCACAAGGTCCCTACCCTTTTGTGCGGGGTTCTGACTCGGCTGGGCTCTCTCATTAAATGTCCCTTCCAGCAGCCACTGTCTCACCATCTGTATTTGGATCCTTGCTGGGGCCTCATGGGGCCAATGGATTTGTCTGAGGGGGGTCCCAGGCCATGTCTGGAGAGGGGGCACCCTTCATGGCACCCTGCTTTCTGTCCCAACAGGGTCTGGCCCTTGCTTGTCATCTGGAGAGCCAGCCCCTCCCTCAAAGGCAGCACTCAGGCCTGGGTGGGGTGATTGTTTGGGAGCCACTCCAACATCACAGGGCCCATCTGATCATCCTGACCCTCTGGGTTGCAGTGACAGGCAGCCCAGCCCTCCCAAAGCAGCCATAGAGCCTTCTGGAAGCCATCGCTCAACATTGGTGCAGGCTCTCTCACTGCCAGCCACAGTCCTCTGGCCCCTCCTCACACCTCACCAAAAATGCCCGTCACACTCTCTTCCCCTTCCCATTGATGTTTTGACTTTGGAGATGGGAATGGTGGATCTTTCTGAAAAATAGGGGCCCCTGTCCTAGCTGCACTCACAGCTGTGTGCCTGCTCAGCAAATACTACATGCCAGTGACACAGATCCTGAGAACGGAGGAAGGGTGAGTGGGTAGGTGCCCCAGCCTCCCAGGTGGAGGGTGGTGGTTTGTTTAACATTTCTGTTGGAGACCTGAACCCTGTCCTCATGGGAAGAGCTGCGCCCTGCTCTCCAGAACATGCTCTCATGGTAGAAATGCCACAGTTGCACACAGCCCTAGTCAAGGTCTATTTCACTTATTGTGCTCTAAAATAAAAACCAGATTTAAAATGTTTTCCCATTGCATTTTTTAAAATAGACATTTAAAATACATTTTTTAAATCCTCATCTGAGGATGTTTTTTTATTGATTTTTAGAGAGAGAGAAACATTGATTTGAGAGAGAAGCATGGGGATTTGTTGCCTTTCGTACATGCCCCAACTGGGTTTGCACCCCAACTGGGGATCGAACCCACGACCTAGGTATATGCTCTGACTGGAATTGACTCCGCAACCTTTTGGTTCGTGGCACAACTCTCCAACTGAGCCATCTGGCCAGGGCCAAAATATAAATTTTAATTTAAGAATATAAGTTTAAAAATTCGTTTCCCATTATGTTAGTTTATTCTTGCTGTTATAAAAAGTTATCACAAGCACAGTGACTTAAAACAATACAGATTCTCTCAAACTTTCTGTAAATCTAAAATTACTCTTTTAAAAGTTCTAATTAAAAACAAACAACCCCACAGATTCATTTCCTCGAAGTTCTGGAGATCAGGAGTCCAAAATGAACCTTTTGGAGCTAAAACCCAGGTGTGGGCAGGGCTGGCCTTCCTGAGTTTCCAGGGAGAATAGTTTCCAGCTTTTTCCAGCTTCTAGAGGTGCCTCATCTCAGGCTCGTGGCCCCTTCCTCCATCTTCACAGGCAGCAGCTCAGCCTCTTGCATCTTCACTCTGACCCTCCTGAGCAGCGAGCGGTCACCAACCTTTCGGACCTCATGGACCACCAGTGGTCTGCGGACCACCGGTTGGCGACCGCTGCTCCTGAGAACCTCTTATGAGGACCCTGTGATGACATTGGCTCTCTCAGTGGTCTGCGGACCACTGGTTGGCGACCGCTGCTTCTGAGAACCTCTTATGAGGACCCTGTGATGACATTGGCTCTCTGGGAAATCTAGGGTCATCCCCATCTCAGGGGCTTTAACTTAATCCCATCTGCAGAGTCCCTCTTGCCAGAGAAGGGAACATATCACAGGTTCTGGGGATTAGGACACAGGCATCGTGGGTGGCCGCTGTTCAGCCTCCCACACCTACAGAGCCACAGGAGAAAACATCCCGGGCAGTCAGCATGGACATGCTCTGGTGAACACATGGCTGATATCACCTGACCCTCGCCAATAACTTCTCTAAAATTCAGCAGTTAGCCACGCCCGGACTGTTGTCGTTCAATGTGCCTTTTCTACTAGAAAAGTTTCGGATGATCTGAGTGCAAGCTAGAGAACCTAGGTACGCTCTGGGGCCACCTGCCTATCCCGATGGTGCTTTCCCTAGAACTTGGCTGTGCTTCCTGCACCATTCCTACAGCCAGGGCCTTGCTGTCCCTGTAGTTTCTGACCCTTGAGGTTGAGGTGGGGGCGGGAGGACCTGTATGGCTGGCAGGAAGCTTATTGGCTGGGGATGGAAGAGGAAGAGTGAGCAAGCTCTGAAGTCTACGGGAGGCCACCCATCACTGCTTTTTGAAAAATGGGGATTCATTAAGTCACTCCTCAGCAGGGTGGCTGGAATTTGAGAAGCTGGGCTTTTGGCACTGGAGGAGGGTCCGGAAGCCGTGGTGAGGCCTTCCTCCACGGCCCCTCACTCAGGCCTGCTCTCCCCTCCTCCGAGAAAGGACAGAGAGTTCCAGGACACTTGAAGCCTGCCCCCTTCGGTGCCTCTTTCAAACTTTGTTGGGGGCAGGCATCTCCAACTACATTGTTGAGATGGGTGGAATGAGTTTGTGATTAATATGGAAAATGAATAGCTGCACTCCAAATGGGCTCACTGGGAGAGTTGTGGAGCCCACAGAGCATTAATGTGTTGGCGCATTATTGGTGCTAATCACTTAAAATGTGTGCCTTTATTAGAGCTTTAATGAGAGCCACTTAAACTGTGCATTAAAAAGAGGAACTGCAGAGAGGCCGGCGGGCCAGGCGGCAGGCAGCCATAACTCTAATTGAAATGCTTTTAGTGCAGAGGAAAGTTGCAGGATTCAGTAATCTTTTGCACTTTCCAGAACTTTGCCATTGTGTCCTTTCAGCCAGGCGCCATCTGCGAGCATGGAAAGTGTCAAAGCCCCTTCTCCCCAAGTCAGCGTGGGTATGTGCTTGCACACACATGTGCGCATCCACATGTGAATGTGCCCTCTCTGACCAACGACCTATCAAGAGTGTGTATCAAGGCCTGGGTCAGCTTCCAGAAGGGTCGCTGGGCTGGCTGTGCCACAGGGTCAGTCCTGGAGGGCAGTGGGTACTCCTGGGCATATCCCACACCTCATCCTCACCGAATCCTCATGGCAGCCCTTCCTTGCCACCTCTCGGTGATGGTTTGCAATGAGGAGACCAGCTGCCTTCTGGTGGAATTGCAGACCTTCAGGTGGAATTCCAGAACTTGCCCAGAAATCAGGGTTTTAAAAAGATTCCCAGGTGATTCTAATGTGCAGCCAAGGTTGAGAACCACTGCTTTAACCACAGGATGCAGCTGTCACTGATTTAAGATTCAGCCAGCAAGTGGTTTGGAAGTGTCCCTGAATTGTGTTAAACACGGTTTCTGAGCAGGTAGAGCTGATGGCCGAGTTCCACATGTTTATAAATATTACCTTAGGTTAGTTACACGGCATCTAATCTAATAAAAGAGAAACATGCAAATTGACCGCACCTCCGCTACACCTAAGCCATGCCCACCAGCCATTCAGAGTGACTATATGCAAATTAACCCAACCAAGATGGCGGCCGGCAGCCACGGAGCTGGAGCAAGCAGGAGGCTTGGTTGCCTTGGCGATGGAGGAAGCCAGGCTTCCCGCCTGCCCTGGCCGGCTGTGGCCTCCACTTAAGGCAACAAAGTTTCAATTATAGAAGATAAATAAATCCTAGATACCTGCTTCCAGCCAGCCTCCACTGGGAGTTTGGGTGGCTGGGGGCCGTGGCCAGCTTGCAAACAGCCATCAGCCCCTCACCCAGGATGGCCACACCCTCATGGGGTGAGGGTCCCCACTGGGGGGCTTGGCCAGCCTGCAAACAGCC